GAGAACGGGATTTAAAAGTGCCTGATCTATTTACACGTATCTTGCGATCACTCTCTTAATTTCCTGTTGTCAGATAACTGCTACAGCTTGTCAGCCTGTAAGTAAAATCAAATTCAAACCAATTTTTCAGCATACTCAGTATCAAATCATTGTAATTTCCCTACAATTTAGTTTCTGAGCTTCCACTTCCAAGACTGTTTAATTTATTTTTACTTTTTAAAAACACAAGCATTAATTTCCTTTTTCAAGATTTGAGACTTGATTATAGGAAGAAGTTAAAACTGGACATGTATATTGGAACAATAATTATAAATGGCTGAATATTTTAACAGTGTTTGAAATTTTAATAACTACTCTCAGGAACACAGTTATTGCTATTTGGGGACTTAAAAATAAAATGAACCAACCAGAAGGCACAGACAGAACTGTTCCAATAGTGAAAGTTAAACAGATACAAACCAGCATTCCACCTACAATTAATCCTTCTGCGTTTGAACACTCTTCAAGTTATCTATAGATTTCTCTTCCAGGCAACTACATGACATTTACATGGAGATATGGATTTAAATGGCTGACTGTGGAACACATGGCTTTTCCACTCTGGAAATTCTTTCTTCAAACGTTCCAGCTGCTCCTCCTGCAATATATTTGGTTGTTCAGGATTTAAGTCAAATATCCTGAAAAAATGAGAAAAAAACCCAATCATTATAAACTGACACTTCACAGAAATGTAGACTAGATGAAGCAACTGGGGTTTTTTTCCCATCCTACAGTAAAATTAGGCACCAGCAAGTCTATAAAACCATTATATTTTAGGTTAATACTCAGGGTTTCGTTGTTCATCCTGCAATATAGAATGGTATTCCTTTTACACAATGGTTAATAATTCACTGGATATACTAAAAAGCTACCCACTTTACCTCAGTCTCCTAAAACTGTGACTTTACAGGTGGCACAAAGCAGTGAAGAGCAGAGTTCCATGCTTCAAACTTAAAGCATAAGAAATTTCAGGGCTCCAAGGTTATCTGAACAGACTGTGATGCACTACTCGTATGCTGCAGGGTTTGAAATGTCAGCATTGAACCAGACTGTCCAAACCCAAACCACGTTTTGAGTTTGACAATGTAGGCACTGAGCATAACTCAAATACTATGTTTGTGTAATTCGTTATAAATTAAAAGCATTTGTGTTCCTGTGACCTAACTCTGGTATAACACTCACTGTGACAAGGGTACATCATGATCTTCCAACACTCATCTCTAACATCAGCATGTTACTCATATCCAAAATTTAAATCCTGGCATCCATCCCTTACCTGTAGCTGTTGCACCTATACAGCGTCAGGTATTACAGGTCTTCGGGTTTATCTCCTTCAAATGAAAACTTGTGGAAGAAATTACCATGGCTTCTGTCTAAAGTTTTTTATGAATATTCATACGTATGATTCCTTCAAGAAATTAGTTTGTTTTTATTGCATCCTCCTTTGTCTGTCCCACACGTCCCAGGTGTCCCCAAAAGGGACGCCATGTCCCCCCCGCTCCCCCCTTTATCTCTCCCACACGCCTCAGTGGGACGCCATGTTCCCCCCCTGCTCCTCCCTTTATCTCTCCCACACGCCTCAGTGGGACGCCATGTTCCCCCCCTGCTCCTCCCTTTATCTCTCCCA